AAAGTATAGTCTTATACACGGAAAATACGTTAATAGGAAGTAAGAATTGTCAGTAATGGAATGGAGGAGGGCAAATAAACGGAAGCTTAGTCCAGAAGAGACAGAAGTACTCCTCGTCAGTCAAAAAGTAGATCAAGGGGAGAGGGATTCAGCCTATACTGCATGGGTTGGGGTTACACTCTCCTTAAACATTTCAGGCTTGCCGCTTGAGTGTGCTCCTAGAGTCAGCTCTGAGCCTGGATGTGCAGTCTCAGCAGAGGCAAGGAGTGCATTTGCAGAGTTAAAGCTGGTGTGCCAGCTGCACCCGTTCCTTGAGAAGTCTGATTTGGCCATGGTAACACATGCCTTAGTTCTGCCGCACGCCCTGTGTGGGGCTGCCTTTGTTTGGGACCTTCAGCTGCTTAAAAATCCTGCATTGCCAGATTGCTGACTGACAGTGGTTACAGGAAATATATAACTCCCCAATTATAGCAGCTTCATTGGCTGCCGGTTTGTTTATGGGCCCAGTTCAGAATGCTAGCTAGGACCTCTACAGCTTTGCTTCAGGCTATCTGAAAGACTGTATCAACCTGTAGCAGCCTTTTTAGCTTTTAAGTTCTTCTGGGGAGATGAAATGCTCCAGCTTTTCCCCAAAACTGTTTTAAACTGTTTTTACTTGTATTTTTTTTAAAAAAATACTTTTGCATATTTAATTGTTTTTCCCCATAATATGTCCAATAGTGATTAATATGTACTTTTAGTGGACTGTAAGCCACATTGATCTCCCTGTGGAGAGAAAGATGACATATAAAATAAGTACATTTCTCCCTTCAGCAATGTTGGGGTTGAGACGCCGGACCCATGTGTAGTTCAGAATCCACGTATAATTTTTTTATGCCCCTTAGAACATAACTACAAAGCACAAACTGTTGACTAACACACACTCACAAGAGAACAGTTTTCTCTATTGGGGTTCTCTTCCGTAACATTGACAATCCATGCCATATAGTACATTGTGTCATGAGCCTTAAAGGTCCTCATGCCCCCCCCAATCTATAGACTGAATTAGATGTTATGTTTGGGTGCAAATAGACCACTTTGACACATTCAGTATTTATTTTATTCATTTATTTCATTTTTATGCCACCCATCTGGCTAAAGGCCACTCTGGGTGGCCTTTAGCCAGATCCTTCAGTCTTGAGACACTATGGTAACATGCTCTGAATAGAGGACTTGGAACAGCGTCTAGTGTGGCTGAGAAGGCCAATTCGAGAGTGACAATCCCTTCCACACTGAAGCCAAGATATACACTCTGTCCCCTGTCCAGTTCCCTGATTTTGCTGATTTTGGGACGGCCTCTTTGCTTCAGCCTGCTGGACAAAGGTCTCTTCAAATTGGGAGAGGCCGTGATGCACCGCCTGCCTCCAGGCTGAACACTCAGATGTCAGGGTTTCCCATCTGTTGAGGTCCATTCCTAAGGCCTTCAGATCCTGTTTGCAGATATCCTTGTATCGCAGCTGTGGTCTCCCTCTGGGGCGATTTCCCTGCACCAATTCTCCATGCAGGAGATCTTTTGGAATTTGACTATCAGCCATTCTCACGACATGCCCAAGCCAACGTAGACGTCCACAACATAGACAAACAACATAATTAAAATACAGTTTAACAGAACAGAAAATAAAAACAATAAAATACAAACAAAAAGCACAGTATTTATTGAATATTTGTTTATTGAAAAAATAACCAGAACCGAAGGCACTTCTGGAATTACAGGTTGACTATTTGGATACCAGCTGAAATCAGTTCCTCCCTAGTTGGAGAAGATTTTGTTGTTGAGCATGAAGCTTCAAAGCCAAAAATGAGACAGGTGATCCAACCACAAACGATTGCACAGAACTGTAGAGGAATGTACGGTAGCTAGGAATAGATAAAAGGGAAACAGCGAGAGGGAAGCAAAAATCAGAATCAGAAACTAAAACACTGTAATGGGGTGGGTAACCTCAGGACAGCTGACACCTATTTTTAGATTCATTGGCAATATAAGGTGGCAGTCTGTCATTTAAAGGGAAAAAACATCAGCACGGGTTATGTGTTGTAAAGCAGTGGTCCTCAACCTTGGGCCTCCAGATGTCCTTGGACTTCAACTCCCAGAATTCCTGGCCAGCAGAGGTGGTAGTGTAGGCTTCTGGGAGTTATAGTCCAAGAACATCTGGAGGCCCAAGGTTGGAGACCACTGTTGTAAAGGATGTTGCCATGGGTTGATGGAAGATGGACTTGCACTAGGAAAAAAAGAGGTTTTATTGATCCTTTAGTAGCCAGTTTTTCCTTCCCTGAAACCATGATTTTTGGGGAAGATACAGATGCTCTAGGAGTGCTTGGTATCCTTCAAATATGGCAAAATGCCCCCCCCCCGCCCAAACACAAGAGGACTTTTTGAGCAAAAATAGTTTGGATATGGCTAGGAATGTTGAAGGCTCACAAATGTGGGAGAAGTAGCCCAGACATATAAGCTGTATTTTACTTGTTCCTGGGCTAGAAGCATCTTAAGTCGTAGAAATATGCAACATGCCACCACTCCGATCATCAGCTACTTCTTGTTCTTCTCATACCACTGGTGAGATGTCATCACAGCTGATTCTGACTTTGGGTGCAACATCTTGTTGTGTTGCATCCAAACCCAGATTCTTTAGCCTATAATTCTTCTCTTTCCTGCTCTTTTCTTGCCTATGTTGCTTTGACTGATCAGCTGCAACAGTCTGTCCCTTTACTTCTCATTACATACATAACTGAAGTGTGGTAGCTTTATGCATTGCATGTGCTTTATCATTTCTTGCTCTTCAATTATTTTGATTCTCCTTTAGCTAGGAACTGCTAAAAAGGTAGATTTCCATTCTCATGCTGTTTTCCTCCCTGAAAGCTTACCGTATATTTATTCCTTGCATAGAGTGCAATCTGATTTAATATTTTTACTTGACTTATATTGCCTAAAGAGAACATGGTAATTTCTAAAAACCCATCAGTATATGAACTGAAATAATTGGTGCAAGTCATTTGTATCAGATCAGAAGTAGCATTCCAGAAACGGGTGTTCAAACTTTTTTTTAGCCACAAGGTTTATTCTTGACCTTTGGGCAGTCACACCCTTTTATTTATTTATTTTATTTTATTTATTCATTGGACTTATATACCGCCCCATAGCGCTACAAGCACTCTCTGGGTGTTTTACAATTTTTAATTATGCAGGCTACACATTGCCCCCCAGCGTGCTGGGTACTCATTTTACCGACCTCGGAAGGATGGAAGGCTGAGTCAACCTTGAGCCGGCTACCTGGGATTTGAACCCCAGGTCGTGTAGCAGTCCTTATGCGTTCCCTCCAGCCACTACTTGATTTACTTTGTTCTTCCATCTTGAGTTCTGTTTATTGATGCGTTACCTTGTTCTTATATTTTAAATTGTTTATATGTTGTTACCCGCCCAGAGTAGTCAGTTGACTAAATGGACAGGGTATAAATTCAATAAATAAATAAAATTGCCTTCTGATGCCAAATCCAGTTGTTACTCTTACCTAGAGAAGACCCATTGAAAATTGGTAAGGCAGCACTTCTGTAAGCTTTATTGATTCAATGAGTCTACACTGATTTCGATTAACGTTGGATTTAGGCTAATGTATATCGAAAACACATCAGAATTTTTAGAGGTTGTGCATTGTAATGGTTGAAGACTCATGGGAAATAGGAGAAGAGATGCAATATAGGTCACTATGTTTGTTGAAATGGATGCAAAAATTATCATAATTTAAGTTGTGGTTTTGATTTGATCTTCACAATCATAACTTTAAATTGTTTTAGATTATTACATGTATTTGCAGTATTTACAAGGTTCTTGGGTGAATCACCTGAAAGACATGAATCTGATGACTGTTATAGCACAACTAATTGGGTTTTGGGCTTACACAGCCCCTAATAACATATGTATAAAACTTTAAAAATTACAAACGTGACTGTTGTAATGGCATCTGTTAATAACTTCAAATGAATTTTACACAACAGTTGTTGATTTCAGAAATGGATTTTTTTTTCTGCGGAAAAATTAAGGATAGCAAAAATTTCCACAGAAGATTATCTGTACCAGATTGATGCCTTAATCTGCAGATTCCTACATTTGACTCCTACAGCATCTAAGTAGATCATTTATCATCAGCCTCTTAGTCCAGATTTTTTCACATTGTCATAGTCTTTGTTGGCAGGATCTCTCTCAATGGATAGTGCCTCGATACTGGCCAGAATGGGATTTAGCTCTGGAGTAAGTGAAATCATCTAAGTTGTGGCAACCAGTTGCACCCAATTCACAAGTTAGTAGCTGTGTGCTTGGCATTTTGTTAAGTAGCCACAATTCACTATTTGATTTATGCAGTTTCACTTATTTTGAAGTACAGTCCCAAGAGGATTCTTGATACCCTAGGGGGGAAAAAATTCTAAAGTTTTGTTCCAGATAGAAAATCCACAAACAAAATGACACAAGACTGTTTTTATTCATTGCTATGAGGTCAAGTCTACTTGTGGAATGCACACAGCATTCCTGGTCCATTTTCACCCAGGGCAGTCATAGTGTTTCTCAGAACAGCACTGCAGGTCTGCATTTTCCCTTCATTTTACTCTAACTGCATTACGCTAGGCACAGATTTCTGTTACGGTAAAGCTTGGAAAACATTTTTGAAGACTGTGGGGGAGATTTAAGTCTCTCCATGTGGGTGGAACCTGACTCATTGAAATGATGTGTCTTTTCCCCCTCCAGCCATGTTCTGATTCAGTGCCTTATGAAGAGGCCTTGGCCAACCGCACTGTTCTTCTGAGTTCCACCGAGAGCAGAGAAGGACTCACACAGCAGGTATTCCATATCTGACATGCAGCCATTTTAAGACAAGAGTGCACTCACTGAAGCAGTTATTTTTCTGGAGAGTTGCCCTGTGCAGATGTCACTGTTTCGTTCATATAGTAGACATGTCAATGCCCACCCAAATATTGAACTCCACAATAAAGGGAAGATTTGCCTTTGGCTTTAGTGTGTGATTTGAGTGCAGAACAAAGGGCAGGCTCCTTTGGACAGTCTGATCTCAAGGATGAGCCTATGCCAGAAAACCAAATGGCACTACAGTTTTAACATTTATGAAGGACCATTGGATCATGTCTGTTATCGGTTATCTGTTATCCAGATTCACTTTTATCCTCAAGTTTGAATAAAAAGATGTGAACTATGGCAGGTCAAAAAGTTTTTCTTAATAGTTAGCAGAGTATGACCCTGGACTCTATGAACCCCCGTAGGCTGTGTGGCCCTCACCCCACCCCATACCTCCTTTTTCCTCAGAATAAAATTGATATAGAAGTACAGCCATGTGAAAAAGAAAGTAACTCTCTTTGAATTTTATGGTTTTACATATCAGGAAATAATAAAAATCGTGGTCCTTTTCAGGTCTGAAAATTAAGTAAATATAACCTCAGATGAACAACAACACATATTACACAGTGTCATTTATTTATTTATTGGATTTCTGTCCCACCCATCTAGACCAAAGGTCTACTCTGGGTGCTTAACAAATTTAAAAACAATAAACCCAAAAAACATATAAGATCCAAGGTGGTGAAAGTATAAGAAATTAAGATACAGCAGGAGGGAAAGCCTGCCCAAATAGCCAGGTTTTAAGTTTATTCCTGAAAACACCCAGAGAGGGAGCCAGGTGGATCTCCATTGGCAAGTTGTTCCAAAGGCGAGGGGCCACTGCCAAGAAGGCCCAGTTCCTCGTTCTTTCCTTCCGGACCTCCCTCGGTGTTAGCCGCCCAGCCTGGCTGGAACGAATGACTCTGGCAGAACTGGGTGGGAGAAGGCGCTCTGCCAGATATTGAGGTCCTAAATTGTCATGATTTATTTTACAGAAATAAAGCCAAAATGGAGAAGCCATGTGTGAAAAACTAAGCACACTATGGTTCAGTAGCCGGTAGAAGCACTTTTATCAGCAACAACTTGGAAGTAATCATTTTCTGTATGACCTTAACAGTCTCTCATATCATTGTGGAGGAATTTTGGCCCACTCTTCTTTACAACGTTGCTTCAGGTCATTGACGTTTGCAGACATTTGTTTAGGCACAGAATTTTTTATGTGTATGACTAAATGATCCATGACTCCTGGAAACCTGCAGGAGGGACAACTCACCATTAAATAGGTGGCAGACATGCCCTCCCCCCGCGTTTGTCCATTGTTGATGTGGCCTCTGGAGTGTGCTGGGGGCAGAAGATTGCCCACTGGACTGCCAAAGTGACTCTCCCCAGAGGTGCATAGTTGGAGATTGTTTTTCCTAGGGCAGAGATGATAAAAATCTGGCCAACCTGACATTTTGGATTTCCCAGAAATCTTCCTCAATATGGCTAATGGTGAGGAGTTCTGGGTGTTGACATTTAAAACATCAATGAGGAAGATGTGCAATATCGCCTTTGGGTGGTGAGCAAAGCGAGGCTATCTGTACCATGAATTGTACTGTTAAGTGTTTCGCCTCAGAAAAGCACTTTCCCCTTCAAGAACTGGGATATCAATACTTTCAGTGAGGTAGCCTTTTGGCTTGGGCCTAAAAGGTCAGAGTTGACCTCTCTGAGCAACTGCTGTAATTAAGAGAGAATTTCAATTACAGTGGTGCCCCAGATAGTGACGTTAATCCGTTCTGGATTAATCGTTGCTATCCGGAAACATCGCTAAACAGAACTAAAAACCCCATAGGAACGCATTAAACTTCGTTTAAAGCGTTCCTATGGGGCCCAAACTCACCGTTATTTGAAGATCCTCCATAGCGCCGCCATTTTCGCCGCCTCGGTAAATGAGGGCAAGGCGAGAAAATGCTTGCGGTGGCCATTTTGGACACTCGGCGGCCATTTTGGAACTGCCGATCAGCTGTTCTGCAAACAGCGCAATGCGAAGATCGGTAAGCGAAACGCTTACCGATCATCACAATGTGGTGTTTTACCATTAAAAACATCGCAATGCGATCGCATTAGCGATCCCAAAAATAGATTGCTATGCGGATTCGTCGTTAAACGGTGCACTCGTTATGCGAGGCACCACTGTATTTTTAATTAAGGTGCTGCTCCCAGAATCCAGCAGTGAATGACTGATGAACAGGAAGGAATACTTAATGTGAGTTTCGAAATGGACTTCCTTCTGTGGTTTTTGGAGAATAATGGACAGAACATTTTCTAGAGAGAACATTACATTTAACCAATCATGTCACCACTGGAAGGAAGTCATAGAGATGGACTGAGGTCATAACGTGGCTTGTCTTTCTCATGAGAGTTTCAAAATAGTATCTGTTATTTATTTGTTGCTCTTCATAAGACTTTATCTGGTTTGTTATTGAAAGCATCTGCTTCCTTTATTTTGTGGCTAAATATGTTTGACTTGGATAATTTGCTCATACCACCATTATCATATGTTTATATTTTATAATGAAGGAAGCATTATTTGTTTAAAGCTTCATAAAAATGTGAGTTCTCCATTGTAGGCTGAATTTTAGATGGATCCTTTGGACAGTGCCCCCCCCAGCCAACTCTGTCTGTTTTAAAAAGCCAAAAACAGTGTTTGTGTGTGAACCCTATTTGCAGTTCATGCTCTTATCTGCTTATATACTGCCCCACAGTGCTTAAACACGCTCTGGACAGTTCACAAGTTAATTATGCAGACTATACCTTCCTCCCCACAGCTAGCTGGGTACCCATTTTACTGACCTTGGAAGGATGAATCAACACTGAGCCTGCTACCTTGGATTGAACTCTGGGCCATGAGCACAGATTTGGCTGCAGTATAGCAGTTCAAATGGTTTCTCATCACTCAGTATAGGCTACTCATCTCTTATCGGTGCTAGAAGAAACTTCTTAGGCAAGCTTCGGATGAACATCATCCTCTGCAGGGCATGTGAAACATGTCAAAGTCAGAGCTGCCTTGGGTGGCGACTGGCTATGTTGGTTGGGAGGATTATAGGAATACAAACTAAAAACGAAGCAAAACAAAACACCAACTGTCGCAAACTTATCTCAGAGCGGCATGTTATTGCCCTGGTACCAGGAGCAATCTGGTGAATGGTTATATTTCAGTTTGCTATACAGCCTCTTAGTTATGCCAGACGTGGGGAATTTACAGTGCTCCAGATGTTATCAGATTGCCTCTCCCATTCTCCTTCACCGTTGTCTATGCTGGCTAAGGCTCGTGGAAGTTGCAGTATAACAACATCTGGAGGCTGTTAATAGTGTCGTATCTTCCCTGTTCTCTAGGTCCAGCAGAGTTTGGAGAAGATTGCAAAACTGGAACAAGAAAAAGAACACTGGATGCTGGAGGCCCAGCTCGCCAAAATTAGACTGGAGAAGGAGAATAAAAGGGTATTCGATAAACTCAAGAATAACGTTGGCAACCAGCGGATTGAGGTAACCCAGGAAATTTCTCTCATGCTGGATGCCTCTGAACAAGAGAAGGAGGACGCTGCAGAGAAGCTTTTGAGGGAGCCAGTGAAAAGCACAAGTCTGGTAAGTGTGTCTTATTCCAGGGTTGTGGTGGACAGTTCTGAGATCTACCATATGTTTTTGTTTTGAAACGTTCCAGTTTTATTAAACAAGACCTTTCTACATTGATTGGTAACCTAGTGAAAAAAACACGGTGGCTGCATTTCTTCATTCGCATGCTATGATAAACCATGTGGCATTCTTTTTTTGAGGGTGGGGGAGCGGGAGGCTTGGAAGTTCCTGCCTACATACGCACACCCATAGACACCTACATTTCATTCACCTGAAATAAGGCCTATCTTCCAGGTTGTCTTTTATACCTACTTCTGGTATAAAAAGAAAACTACTCCAGTACTTCCTGAGGAGTCAAGTCTTTGCGGGAGGTGTAATCTTGCTGCTCCTTAGGCTGTTTATAGAGCATCCCCAAAACTCTGAACCTCTTACAAAGAACTAGGCCTCCCAGGAAGCACCGGGGTAGTTTAGTTTTTATATGGGCAGACCCAAGACAGCCTGGAGAATATGCCCTGTCCAAGTCAGTGAAATATAGATGTATGCTTGGACGCCTGTAGGTGTGGGCAGGAACTCCCAGAATTCTGCCGGAGGAACTCCTGGAGAATTCTGGACATTGGAGTCCAAAAACACACCAAAGAATGGTATGGCGAGTCTTAATGATCAAAGTATAATGGTCAGATCCCTCCATGTTTGGAAGGAGATCTTGGTGGCATTAGCACTTTCACTTTTAATTTCAGTTAAGCACAGCTAAACTCCAAAGTGTTAAGTGGGATTTACTGAAACAAACTATCTTCTTAACACAGAGTTTGAAGTTTATTTCAAAGAAACCGTCATTAGCGTTAACCACAGTTTGTCATTGGGTGCCATCAGAAGCCATGGTTAATCAGATATAGAAACAAAAGGTTCTGTATTCCTCAAAGCCCATGCAAGTGAAATTGAACAATTGGGCTCAGTGTAACACTACTGAAGGAAGTATGTACAATTCAGGCATCCTAAAAATAATCTGTTAATAGGTTCCAGTTAATAGTTTTCATTTAAATGTTTTTGCTGGGAAACAAACTTCAAAGGACACATTATACTTTATTGAAACTCCCTCTTTTTGGTTCTGCTGTTTTGACCATTCAAAAGCCTAGTCAAATAGTTGTAAAGGTAAAGGTTCCCCTGACATTTAGTCCAGCCGTGTCTGACTCTAGGGGGCAGTGCTCATCCCTGTTCCCAAGCCATAGAGCCATTGTTTGTCCGAAGATAGTTTCCGTGGTCACATGGCTAGCGCGACTAGACACGGAACGCCGTTACTTTCCCACTGTGGTGGTACCTATTTATCTACTCGCATTTTTACATGCTTTTGAACTGCTAGGTTGGCAGGAGCTGGGACAAGCGGCAGGAGCTCACTCCATCATGTGGATTCAATCTTACAACTGCTGGTCTTCTGACCTTGCAGCACAAAGGCTTCTGCAGTTTAACCTGCAGCGGCACCACGTTGGTATCTAAAATTGGATATCCAATGGGGTGTAGTGGATAGAGTGACAGACTAGAATTTAGGAAGCCTGGGTTTTAATCCCCACTCAGGAGTGGGAAACTCACTAGAGGTGAAGAACTGGTAAAACCACTCCTTAAATGTTTGACTTATCTTGAAAGCCCTATTAGCGTCTCTGTAATTCCGTTCTATCTTGATGGCACATAACAAATATAAAACTAACATATTTTCAGGGTTTTTTAAAATGATGAAATATGCATATGAGAAGAATATGTTAAGCCACATTCCTACTTCTGCTTACTTGAAACTAGGTAAAGGTAAAGGTTCCCCTTGACAATTTTTGGCCAGTCGTGTTCGACTCTAGGGGGCGGGGCTCATCCCCATTTCCAAGCCATAGAGCCAGCGTTTTGTCCGAAGACAATCTTCCGTGGTCACATGGCCAGTGCAACTTAGACACGGAACGCTGTTACCTTCCCACCGAGGTGGTCCCTATTAATCTACTCGCATTTACATGCTTTCGAACCACTAGGTTGGCGGGAGCTGGGACAAGTGACGGGCGCTCACTCCGTCCCGTGGATTCGATCTTACGACTGCTTGGTCTTCTGACCCTGCAGCACAGGCTTCTGCGGTTTAGCCCACAGCACCACCATGTCCCTTTTACTTGAAACTAGGCCTTATTATTAAATTCAATGGGCAAAATCCTATTCAGAAGTAGTTTACCTGTCCCTTCTTCTGCGGGATGCAATCCTATTGTGTAAATGCCATCCTCTGCTGCAAATAAAATTTAGTTTAAATTGACTGAAAGCTTCTTATCCCGTCTTTCAGGTTCCAAGGCTCCCTACGGTTCCTTTTTGCATTGGGAGCCTCAGGATAATAGGCAGGAAGGCTTTAACAATCACTGCTAGGTTATTGCTGGCAGGATTGGGACTACCAAGGGTGATCTGGAGGCAAATGCTTGGTGTTTGAGTTGTTCAGTGAGATTCAAAAGGTGATCTGTAGTGGGTTTGTGGATGCTGTTGTAAGTTGGAGAGCATGGAATGATTTCATTCAGAAATGCTGGTCCCATGCACATGAATTGCACTTTCCTACTATCAGTTAATGATGGTACAACTTAGTCTCTTGTTCACACAGATCTCCATTTGCCTTTTCTGGGACTGAGAATCTTGTGTCTCTGCAGACATGTGTGCTACAGTCTGAAGGCTTAGGCACAAACTTCTAGCCTGCTACCCTCTATAATTGTTTGACTACAATTTCCATAATCCCCAGCCAGCATGGAATTGGAGAAAAGGTGTTTTGCAGATTCAAGGACATTAGAAATAAGATCCTAACTTCACTGTATGGATTCTCTGAAGAAACCTGAGTCAGGATCGTTTCTCTGCTTTGTGCTTATAAGAGTGGCTCTCATAATATCATTTGGGCTGCATGATGGGCAGTGTAGTATTCCCCTCCCCTTAACCTCTTTAGGAGGAGGGCTGTGTGACTGAGGTCAGGAGCCTTAGATCTCTACCCCCTTTCCAGAACTGCTGCTTAAATCCTGAAGGGTGTCTTGTTTCTTCCGTGCAACCAGACCCTGTTGCTGTTCCATACATGTGGTTTGGACTGAAATCCTGCATGTCAGCACTTTGTGTATGTGGGAAGGCTTCCCTTGCCAAAAGAACTTTAACATGTTTGTGGAATTCATAGTGGGATTATGTATTGCCAGAATAGAGAAAAGCCCAGTTCTAAGACTAGTTGTTGGATGAGGCATGGTGGAAGGCAGAAACCAAATACATTTCCTAGAACATGCTGCCTATGTTTCGACATTGGTCTATGGCTTGATAAATCATGGCTTACAGACTGATGGACACTGCTTCCTTCCCCATCTTCTCCTGTTTACACACTGCCTTCAGTGTGTGGAAATCCTAGTTTTCATTCAGCCAGAATTCCTTGTTTTAGCTAAACTATAGGAATCTGGCTCAGTGTAAATTAAAAAGTTGCTGTTGGCCTGTTTTCTAGTCAATCAGCTTCAACTCATAGCTCTTCCTTCACCTGTAGCAGGGAACCCAGGCTTATGGAAAGCCGGAATCTCTATGCCAGAAATGACAGAGGAGAGCAGGGGGGAGTAATACGTATATAAGTCTGTTTGCTGACCTAACAGAGCATAGCAAAGGAATAAAACTGAATTAATATAACTGAGGCAAAAAAACAAATGTGGTACAGTAGTTGGAATCTACTACTGACCACTCAATCAAGAAGATGCAGATGAAACTTTAGAAAACGAATTGCAAGAACTTCAAAGAGACATGGGGGTTGGACTTGATAGCCTTATAGGCCCCTTCCAGCTCCATTATTCTGTGAGTCTATGAACCACAGTGCTCATCCGTGGGTGTTGGACTGATGTCTGGTTCCACGGTGCCCATCCGTGGGTGTTGGACTGATGTCTGGTTATAACCAGTTCATTTTATTTCTGCATTATATTATCACATTTCATATTCCTTCCCACACTAAAAAGTACAGCACATTGTATGTAGAATTAACCCATTTTCTCCTTAAATAAGAATAGCAACTTGACTAAAGTTACAAAATGGCCCTCATGATGGCAGTTCCAACCCCATGCCCATGTCCTGTGCACTGGACATTACAAACATTCCAACCCCATGTCCTGTGCACTGGACATTACAAACACTAGATCTGATATGCATTAGCCTCACACCAAAGTTGTCAGTGGATTTCGGAAGGGGGGGGAGGTGTTTAATATTATTAGTTAGGGAATTACAAGAGCATGTTCTACTCAGGTACGCTTTGTTTAAAGGTGAGCAAATAATGGAAGGGCAGAACTTAATTTCCTGTGTTATTGTAAGGGTTGATTATCCTGTGCATATGAAATACCTATAAACTGAAAATATTGAACAACAGTTCTATGATACAGAGGTTTGGCTTGAAAATTAAGCACCTCTTTCAGACCTCATTATGATTCAGTGTTTTTTGAAGCAGCACACTTGCAAAGTCATTCCCTTGGGTTTTTGTTTTTCGTTTCTTGAAGAAATCACCATGGGTAACATACTCCTTGAAGTTTTAGTAAGTCTAGTGGGAGAGGGGTTGGAACAGGCATTTAATCTTCCCACTGACCTCATTGGAACTTAAAATTTGGAACACAAACAGGTAAAAGGTTTGAGACCATTGAGTGTGAGCTTCCACAGAATAGAACTGGCGAGTAATTGGTGTCATTGAGCTGACTTTTTCATAATCTTTTTCCCCCTAATCTTCCCCCTCCCTCCCAGGTTGGAATGCTGACAGTGACCACTGAAAATGAAGAGGTATGTATGGCTTTAGTATGGCAGGGTCCTACTGCCATGGTTGTAAACACTGTATTTAGGGCTAAAGCCATCCTTTCATATCCAGCCATTTTTGCAGTCTTCAGACCTCCCTTGGCCTCCTTTTTTAAAAAATTGTAAAACAAGGCGATTTGCAACCCCTGATAATCCCCACCAGTGGTGATTTATCTTTTTAGTGGGTCACAAACTCCCCAGCACCCAGAAATCCCAATTTTTCAAAGCTGGACATGGACTTCTGGCTGCTTCTGTTTTTTTTTTGTTTTTGTTTTTTTTCGGCTGCTTCTGTTTTTTTTGTTTTTTTGTTTGCATTTTTGTTATTCTCTACAGTACTCAGAGAGTTCTGGGGCAAAAAACTGGTCACCAGGCATTTTTGTTATTCTGTACAGTACTCAAAGAGTTCTGGGGCAAAAAACTGGTCACCAGGTCTTTAAAAACGACAGCAACTTATCTTAATTTTATATCCTCAAGTTGTCCTCTCTTCCCCTACTTGTAACAAATGTTAAAATGTGGCAACTGTTCATTTTTTTAAATTTCCCTGACGAACACTTCATTATTGCTCCCCAGCTATCTTGTTTGTGATAATTTTGTAACAGGATTTTTTGTGCTGCCACTGTGCTTATGGAACCAAACAGTATTCTAGGACAGGGCTGAGAACCCATAGCTCTCCTTTTGTTGTTAATCCCCAGTTCCAGCTGGGCTAGTGGTGAGAAGAGTGATTCATCTACATCTAGAGAGTCAAAGATGCCCCACTCAAGAAAAGCTGGATGCTGTTTGATAACAGCATTGTTCACTGCTTCCGTTGTCCAGTACGACAGTTTCTTCTTGTCCCTTCCCTTGAACCTAATTATTGTTTTTCCTAATGGATCAGAATAAAGCCTGTCTAGGCTGTTATCTCTGTTGTTGTTGAATAAGATAATGCTACTAGTGAAGCACAAAGGCTATCTATCGCCTTCTTGTGTTTGTCCTCAGCTTTCTTGTACTTGGAGATAGAATGCCTCTGGATGTAGAGGCTCCATAATAGCTGGGGCCTTTCATAATGTTGCTGTATGTGACTGTGTCTTGCCCTGAAAAAAGGATCCATCTGAGTGAGTAGCCATTGCCAGGTCTTATTAATCCAAGCTGGATCAGACCAAAAGCTTATGTAGTCCAGCATCTGGATTCATTCAGTGGTTTCTGGGATGCTGGCAAACAGGACATGAATGCCCCAGCACCATCCTGCTTATACTCCTCAGCAATGGATATGCAGAAGTATATTGTCTCTGCTACTGGAGGGAGTAGATGACCCCTGGTAACCTTATCCTCCATGACATCATCCACTGCCTATTTAAAACTGTCTGCTATGGCCACTCTTGCCACATCTTATGGCAAGAAGTCCCATAGTTAACTTTTATTTGTGTGAAGAATCACTTCCCTTTACCTTTCCTGAATCTCTAGTTGCTCAGATTCAGTGGCTCACCCATGGCTGTAGTGTGAGGAAAGGAGAATATTTCCTTGCCTACTCACTTTCTCTAAGCCAGAAATCATTTTCTACACTTTGTTTGCCTCCACTGTTTATTTGCTTTTTTTTCTTGAGGATGAAAAAACTTCACATTCATGAGCATTTTAATCTGTCTTTATAAGTAGTTCTTCCAGGTCCTTGATCCATTTGGTTGCGCTTTTCTATGAGTTGTGGCTTTTGGTCCTTGTTCTATTCTGTTTCAGTTGCGTTGGTTTTCACACTTGGATGGATTTCCTAATGTTTTTGCCAACTTATTTTGCAGGCTCCAGAAGCCAGTACCCGTGAAGATTTGATAAAGAACCATTATATGGCGAGAATAGTGGAGCTTACCTCTCAGTTGCAATTAGCTGACAGCAAAGCGGTACATTTCCATGCAGAGGTGAGTGAGCAATCAGTTGCCTGTGCAAACAGTGAAGCATTGGCCTGACAGTAAAGACCGGCTGCAAGAATTGTACAGTCATCAGTTTCTATCATGCATAGTTTCCCTCTTGGTTTTTGGAACTCCTGCCACTAAGAATGATCCCCCAACTAAAGCATTGATGTGCTGTAATGCAAATGGGGAAAATAGTGAAAATCAGAACACAGTTCAAAAGTACATTTCCTATGTGATCTTGAATTCCTTGCTCCCTATTTAAAATGGGAAGAATAACCTGTTTTACAGCACTGTTGAGGATGAACAAGACAAGAGTTGCAAAGCTCATTGCATGCTCACAGTTCTGCTTCCCACCTCCTTGTATGTTTATATATCACACAAGGAGCTGGTACAAAGGACCTCTTGTAAGTTGTATATAGGGCTGTGGTAAACCGTGGGACAAAGAAACTGTGGATACTGGTCCCACTGATATAGGGATCCTACTGTACTTGAAATAAGTGCTCATTATCCCCTGTGTGGCACTTGTCCTGCCTCCTTGTATGTTATAAACAGTTTCAGTTATCCATAGTAGATCGTGGCCCTACTGTACACATACTTCCGCCTTATTTACAGTAAAGCACAGTGTGCAGCAGGAGGATCCAAAATATTCCCAGGAAAGTACATCTTGGGAATTTACAGGAAGGGATTTATAGGAAGTGGTTGCGTGGAGGATTTCTGGGAAGGAGGGCATTGGTCTAAGGGGCAGCAAGGTACAATGGGCAAAGCCATTTCCTGTGTAGTTGATGATGGGTGGTGCCACAGAACAGGATATGTCAAGAGACCAATGCACAGGGAGATGAGGAAGAGTGAGGCCGCGGGGAGCCAAGCAAGTGGGCAAAAACCTTGCAGAGACAACTGAAGGGAGGAGGCTGGGAGGCCTTAGCAGAGTATGGGAGGTAGAGATGCAACATTTGACATTCCCAGGAGTGGAGGAATTCTAAGTGTTTGAAACCTTGTGTAGTCAGGTTGATGGCAGAAGTGGCGGTGTGGGAGGGATGAAAGCAGCCAGCTCCTTTCTTTTGTTCAAGAGGAATGAGAACATTAAGGGGAATCTTGAAAGGAGTGAGTGAGTGAGGGAATGACAATTTGGAATAAAACAGCTGACACCATCAGGGGCCAGTTGAGAGGGAGGATGAGAGACCTCAATGAGATGAAGTACCAACAGCAGCCTCCCTGGAATGTAGGAAGCTGTTTTGTTTTTGTTTTTTACTTAGTGAGATCCATGCCTCACCTAGTACAGTGCAGTCAACTGCAATAAGCAGCAGCTGTCCAGGGTTTGAGGCAGGAACTTTTTCCTAGTTCTGCTCGGAGATACCTCAGATTATATGTCAGTCTCTTGTCCAAATATTAATCAGGCTGGAGTTTGCTTAGCTTCTCAAATCAGGAAAGATCAACATGTTCATGATGGTGTGGTGTTAGATAGGTTTCCTCTGAAGTCCCAAGGACCTTAGAAGGGCTCCGGAGAGAGAAGACCATAGGCAGTGACTGGCTTGTGTTGAGCAGGCAGCAAGTCCAGGGGGAACAGGAGAAAGGAAGCAAGGATGGGGGATGATGGTAAGAGGTATGAAGTTTGGAGAGAGAGGTTAGTGGCTGCTGTTGTATTTGAAAATGGCATTTCAGACATGACTATTAGGGTAACCTGGTACAGATATGCTCCCATTCACATGCGAGATGTTCAAGGGAACCTTGGAGTTACCAAAATCTCATGGTGGGAGCTGTAGTAGAATAGTTGCCAGGGCAAAGATTCTGGGTAGTAATTTTCTCTATAAAAGATCACCTGAATTAAAGCCAGCATGGTTCTGTGTTTGATTTGGCAGTGCCGAGCACTTGCAAAGCGACTTGCTTTAGGAGAGAAAACGAAAGAGGCCTCCCTGGAAGAGATGAGACTAGCGAAGCAGAACATCACCAGATTACAGGCAAGTTGGTTTTTAATAACTGAGGGTGGGGCGGGCATTTCCAAGGAACTCTGCCCAAATCAGAGGACTCCCTTGCACCCTCCTTGTATACGCTTTGAAGTGGTTAGTGCCATTTCCTCTTGAAATATTTTGGCATTATGAGAGAGAACAAGTTTGTTGGAACACCGTCAGGGTAAATGGACCCTCTGGGTTGTGAAAAGATGGTTTCATACCTCTCAAGTTCTCGTTCTGCAGGATGCAGCGTCATGCTTTGTTGCCAGAATTGCAGAAATAATTGTAGCTTACAATTGCAACTTTAAGATGGTCCTTCTGCCTCTCTTCTTGGGGATCTCATTTTGCCACAGTGGGCTAGAACTGAAGTTTAAGATGGTCCTTCTGCCTCTCTGCTTATCTTCCACTTCATGGGGACCTCATTTTGCCACAGTGGGCTAGAACTGAAGGTTCCATTTCTTTGCCCTTCCAGGATGAGTTGACAACCACCAAAAGAAGTTACGAAGACCAGTTGAGCATGATGAGCGACCATCTCTGTAGCATGACCGAAACTTTATCCAAGCAACGGGAAGAAATAGATACATTGAAGTTGGCTAGTAAGGTATGTAAACCAATGGCTGTGGGCTGGAATTTTGAGTTTCCTGCATTTCCCATCCTTACTTGGTCATTCGGCATAGTTTACTGATGAATAAAAGCATTGATTCTGTTAAAAAGTGCTGAGTCTGTTGTTCCTGTGTGTCGTAATCCGTGGGATTGCTTTTTCCTCCAGAAGAAGCAAACACAGTCTTGCATCATCTCAGTTTCTGAACAAAGAAAACTATAGTTAGTGAATGTCTTTTAATTCTATATATTTGTCTTATCTTAATTTAAATGCATAGGGTCTCTCGAGGGTTACTTGTGAAGTTCAGTTTTAAAACCACAGAAAAAACTTGATACGCTCTCATTTTGTAAATGACTACATAATTCTTTAGAAAAGAGTCATGCAATAGGGAAAACAAAGTACAAACTCTTGGCCTGTGAACTCACAAAGATATTTGGAAGAGGGGTTCTGCCTTTGGAAAATCCAGCTTGGCTGTTTCTTAATATTTAACTGCATCCAAAGTCCGGTACAGAAGATAGACTAGACAAGGCCCATGCTCAGAAGGCTTGCAAGCAATGACTGAGGGAATTGAAGGGAGTATGAAAGGTGGTAGTTATTGATGGCAAAGAAATCCATAGCTGAAAAAATATTATTAAACTCATGAGCGTAAAGAAGAGAAACAGCCTAGCCAGTGGGGATTCTGACCCATCTGTACCAAACAGCATAGTTAGGAGCACTTGGAATGGAAGTTGAAGAGTTAGACAAAGGGAACTGCCAGTGTAGTGGTCCTGAATGCCCGTAAAGTTTCTAAATGGTCTTGAGTGAGCCTCACCATCACAATAATAGCATTAAACCAAGAACTGTAGCTCAGGTGTGTGGCACATGCTTAGCATACAGCAGATCTCAAGTTCAGTCCTTCACATGTCTGTTTAAAACATAAGTGGCCCGCTCTCGCCCCCCAAGTGTTCTTGGAGTGCATGTTCCACCAGTCCTGACTGGCATAGCCAATGGTGCATGACTATGGGAGTTACAGTCTTAACATTTGGAAGGCCTCTGTTGCCTACACCTAGTTTGGAAGGATCTCTAATAGCAAAGGCTGCTTCTTCTGAAATCCTGAAGATTCCCTGTTAGGGGCTAATTGTTTTGAGCTGGAGGGGCCATCAGTCTGACTTGCTTTGGCAGATCTGTATGTTTATTTGCATTTGTAATGGGATGCAAGATGTTCACATGCTTTGGGTAGTCACTTCATTGGAATAGTAATTGTTCCTTACCCTTGAGGTTTAATATTTTGTTGTTGGCACCTGTCTGTTTTTTTTTCTTGGCCACAGACCCTGGTTAGATTGTGATGGCCAGGTTTGCTAGCCCTTGCTGGCTTTGTTTCAGCAGCAAGCTGTATGCAGAACTGGAACAGAAGGCAGAGGAAGGTGGAGGTGGCAGAAATCCTGTTGTGCAACTTGGTTCAATGTTGAGTTTTTGGTGCAAGCAATAAACTTTTCTATTCCTCTGCTAGCAAGAGTGGAGTGTTGGTATAGCATAGTATCTTGTTGCACCTTCCCAGGGCATGTGCATTATCTCAATCTTGCTGTGTAAATTACTGGAGTGCTGCGTTAGGAAGGAACTGCTCTCCCCATGAGTAGTAATTGGTACAGGCTGTGTTATGGTGGATGGAATACCTAACATGGTTGATAGATCCATTTGTTTATTTTATTTATATTTTGTCTTTCTCCTGGGAATAAGGCTTAAGTGGCAAAGTTTACAGATAAAAGCAGGTACAGGGAAAACAGAGAAAAGATTATAATCGACTTTCTCTCTAATTTTTGGTCCAGCTGGGAAGGGCTCCACCCTCGTTGCATGCACCTCTGCCCGCCCCCCCACCTGTGGCTGCAACCAGAACCAAAAGAGGTTAAACACGGGCTGTAGATGCAGCACTACATAGCCCATGCAGCTTAAAGGGAACATGACTATAATGTCGATTTCTTTTTAAAAACATTCAAAAATGCAAAGGTGATTAATTCTAGAAGCAATTTAAATTTTACATTTTAAAAATACAGTACAATTTTATTTAAGCCCCTTTTCTCAGAATCTTGTCTATTGCTGAAAGCAGAGGGTCTTTGTCTACTGGAAGAACAAAGAAAACAGGGAAGGGAGCCATCTAGTTTTCCATGGCCGCAACTTCCCCAGCTTGAGAGCAGCTCCCAATAATGGGCTTGGGCGGGAGGGATGAAGGCTACATCTTAAAAATGGAGCAGAAAGTAACGGAGTGTTGGGTAAGTGACTCAACTGGTGGAAGACACTTTAGGAGGTGAGGAGACACAGTCTAGCTGAAATGGACGTGGAGGAACTCAGAGAGTTGACTTTGATAGAGAGGGAAGCTATTCTGCCAATACATCCTGAAAGGCTAGAGCTTGATAATGACAAGCAGGAAGCTTGTTGTTTAGAATAATCAATTCCTGAGTCATCCGTTGTCACATGGGGTTGGTGTGGCGGGGAGAGTTGTAAAGACCTTGCCCTTGGCTAGCGCAGCCGGCTGAATGAAGAGCACTTGAAAACAAATTGCGGGAGAATAAATGGAGACCTCGTCTTTGCAGAAGAAACGTTGGTGGTACAGCTCTGCAGCAAAGTAATCTTTTAATGAAACTTCTTATGCATTCTATGCACTATTTCAGTCACCTGCAGAAAACCCCAGGCTGTGAAGCCATTATCTGAAATCCTTCAATTTTTCCCGCAACTGAAATGAAGCCAATGGATTGTAAACAGTACACGTTCTACCCATGATGTTCTGGGTGTGTGTCTCCAGTGCCTCCCTGTCTGTTTGTGTAACTGTGCAGGGGCCCCATGTACGTGGGGCAATTTCCAAAAATCCTGGAACCACCCATGCTAGTTCTTGAGCCTTGGAGTGATGCTCCTGCAACCCTGACGTTATAAACGGGATGGGGTTCCTGTGAAATATGCCCATGCCTTTTAGAGGTCATTTTTTTATTGGTCCCATAATCTATGAAAGGCAGGGTTGGTAGGAGATGTCTTTTCACATTTGCAGGAGATGAAGTTTGAAGGAGAACAAGTTCACAGTAATTCTGCATCATGTCCAGAGTATTTCTGTGTGTTGTTGCTGTTTTTTTTAATGGAACTGATAGAATTTTGGGCAGTGAATAGCTGCATTTTACAGAGTCAGTGTAGACAGTTGTGTGCCAAGCCGCACGATACAGGGTGGAAATGATAATGTCTGCACTGACTTCATAACTTGCAGTAATTTCCTACCAAAATTACGCCATTTGTGTTTCATTGGCAGTAGGATTTTGGCCATTGTCCCACATTTTAAGGAACAATTAAACTCAGTTCAAAGACATCCGTGTAACAAAGGTTAAGAACCACTGGTGTAGACAGTATTATCGGTTGTGTGCCAAGCCGCACGATACAGGGTGGAAATGATAATGTCTGCACTGACTTCATAACTTGCAGTAATTTCCTACCAAAATTACGCCATTTGTGTTTCATTGGCAGTAGGATTTTGGCCATTGTCCCACATTTTAAGGAACAATTAAACTAGGCTGAATGATCCAGAGGGTGTGCTGCAGGATGAGACCAAAATATACATTGCAAGAGCTCTAGCATCCAACGATAAAGGAATAGGCAATGATGAAATTAACCTTCCTGATTCTGCCAGGAACTGTATAGGAGTAGAACTCACTCCGCTGGGTGTCCCTGTTGGCAGAGGTGAGCTTGAGATTCGAGCAATTGTGACTTTTTTTTTTAAAAAAGTGGCCACTTTTATGTACTTCTGTTAAATACATTTTTTAAAAAAAGTGGAGTCTTATTTTATTTTTTAAAATTGTTTTTTTTTTAAATTTCAGCATTTGGATGATGTGAAAGATGCAGTCTGTATGATGGCAATTTAAAATCAGCTAAACTGGCACAACAGCTCCTTCACAGCAGTCTTGGGTGCTTGTGTCAGCTGCTACTCCCAGACTGTGTTCCCGAGCACTATCTTTTGGCTTGTAACTAAGACAACGTGTTTGTGGTTTCTGAAGGCCTTGGAAAGCTTTTCCTTAATGTCTATTTCCTGAAAGAGCAGGGTGTTTTTTTTTAACTGAGCTGGCCGGCTAAACCTTTAATCACAGAAACATGAGGACAGTCTGACGCCTGAGGCTTGTCTACGCAGAAACCTCATTACTCATATTTGTAGCAACATGCCTTGCATGGCATGTACTACTTTTTGATCTGTGTGCTCTTACAGTGATTGTCTGAAAAAACAGACCTTTTGTTCACGATACTTGGGTATCCCAAAACATGGTCATTGGTACAGTGGTTCTTGTAGGAGGTTGTTTCTTTGCCACAGATCTCTTATGCGTGGATAGAGAAAAAATCCACAGCATAAACCCCCAAATTGTATCTCTTCTCTCCCCCCTGCCCAAAAGGACCACTAATAGGGACTTTATTGATACATGTGGGATGGGATGTTCAGTGGTACAGCACAGCTTTGCATCTAGGAGGTTACAAGTATGCCGAAAACAATCAGGTGGCAAAGGGTGCCAAAGGCAGCTAAGAGTGGACTATATGAACACATAAATAGTTCCAGGTATGCCGAAAACAGTCAGGTGGCAAAGGGTGCCAAAGGCCTTTGCCCAACAATCCGTGGTGGCTAAGAGTGGACTATATGAACACATAAATTCAGAACTTTGAAACATTCTGTGTTTGGACAATGCCTCCCACATTCCAGTGGCATTCATAAATGGCTGGTGAATTCTGGGAGTCACAGCTCCCCTCCCAACGAAACTTTGCACAGCGTTGCGTCTTATGCTCTGTGACAATCCCTTGTGCTTTCTCCTTGATCTAGGGGAATTCCAAGAAGAACAAAAATCGATAGTATCGGTGGGCCAGCTGTCCTCTGGATTCTGCTGCTGCACAGAAACACAGATGCTGGAACTGGTATTCAGCTGGCAAAGTGTCTTTTGGCTGGACGCGGCCATAAAGGTGGACATGCCCATTTGTGGGGGAGTTTTTTAGTGTCGTGCGTGGATGTGAGACCACATTGAATGGGGTAATGCAGACCAAACTTTGTGAGGCCAGTAAAGCTGATGGCAGAATGATACACTCTGTGGATAACTTACATAGGAAGTAATAGTAACTTTTTATGTACAATTTGTAATTACTTCTAATTTCCATGTACAAACTTCCAAGATTTTGTATATTTGAGTGTATACTTAGACAAGCAGAACTGGTATTGATGCAGTAGTTGTCTGTTCTGGCCTGTGTTGTTGTTCCTGCCCGTCCATTCGTTTTTGTGGATAAAATGAAATATAAATGCCACAAACCTCAGAACTATGAATATTTTTCAGCTGTGTTTACCTGTGCAGTTATTGTGAAAAGTACTACCAATTCCAGTCTTCTCTTCTACATTAACTTAGAAGATTGCCTGTCCCGGTACATTAATGCAGCTGTGACTAATGCAAGTTTTTATTAATTGTTAACAAACCATTAAAAAGTGTGCAGAAGTGAGCCTTTTTAAATCAAGTGTAGGCCAAAGAAGGAGTTCACTTAAAACTGTGCTGAGCAGTGACATTTTCTCCATTTTTGTTTGTACTGATTGATTTTCATGCAAATGGCTGGCAGAAGTTGGAGAATGATGTGAACAGGAATATTGACAAAAAAGGGTCTTTCACTTTGGCAGGATTGGGATGATACTGGCAATGGATCGTCAATATCAGCTGGAAGCTCATATACAAATTCAGCCTAAGAAATCACGGAATAAGCAAGGCTATAAACAAATTACGCCTCAAGACAGGTTGTGCTGCTCAGCTTCATGAGCCTGCCTGTTCCCTAGCACCCATTCACACTCTCAGTTACATTCGCATATGACAGTGTGTTTGATTTTTTGCAACTATGTTCTTCCCCATCTTTGGTTGTGTGCATATGCATATTCCCTAGGTTTCACTTTACTTATTCCATGTGGAACCGTAGGACACATAGTTCCTGAAAACCAGCAGTTTGTCTGGCGACTAGATTCTGACATTTCTAGCATATCAGCTGGCCCTAGGCTGGTAGCCTTACAAAATTTTGGAATCGTTCAGTTGACACCTCAAGGTGCTAAAATATACTCCTGTTCACATTTTCCCCCCTGCGGGCAGCTTGTTTGTCAAAGCCTGAGGTGATCTCAACACAGTGTTCAGTGGGAGAGCTCCACTTATCTATTCATGAGGTGTTTTACTACTGAAGATTTTCCACACTGAACTACTTCTGTTGTCCTGCAAGAGACGGTAGCTGTCCTACCTTTAAAAGTTTACTCAATTGTATCGACCATGTTAATGTGTATTATGAGCATAGAAATAAATATACTGCCTAGAGGTTCTCTTCCCTTGTGAGATTGTTTTGTTTTGGAGGGGGTGTCTGTGATTATGAACATAGCTAGCTGAAGAATGCCCACATCTCACTGGCCTAAGTCCATTTGCTAGTCCCAGCTAGACCAGACACTGTTAATCAGTGGATGTTTGGCTAAGTGTTGGCTTAATATTCGCCAGTGAACTGAAGGAACCTATTCTAGTTGGAACTTACAATTGGGTTTTGCCATGCTATTCTTTAAGATACATACCTTTTTTTTTTGCCAGATTGGGGATAAACTGACAAAATATCTTTGCTCTTGATGATGGGGTGAAGGGATTATTACAAGTCAGTGTATTTTGTTAAAAAAAATTTTCTGTTAAAGATTGGTGCTACCTTACCAATACAGATGGATGCAAAATGAATGACAAACCAAAAAAAAAAAAAAACCCCATGAACTATGCTGATTTGTAGTTCGGTTTGTGCAAGCTGTTTTGCCGAAATGAAATGAAGCACTGAACTGTTTCCCATGTGGCACTTCCATTTGCTTCAACTAAATGGATGTCCCCGTCCCCTTCCCGCTGCCCCTTCACCTCTCTACCTGGTCTTGCTGCCTCCTCCAGCCCAGCTTCCCTTCCAGGAGTCAGGCCAACTTTCTCTGTGCAGGCACAATACCTATCAGGCCAACTTTCTCTGTGCAGGCACAATACCTATCAGCTAAAAGGCTGGTGCATGCTCAGAGTCAGTGGCCCTGCTCTCAGAAGAGAAGCCAGGCTGCTGTCTCTGAAAATGAAGGTCAAGTTGCAGGCAGGCAGCAGGGGGAGGAAAGCATTAGGTTCCCCTCCTCCCAGGCCCGAACCACGAACTGCTTCATTTTTCCAGGTTTCGGGGATGGTTCATGGGCAGCCACAAACCACCCAGATTCATTATTTTTCCAATTCGTGCTCATTTCTACTTACCACTGTAAAAGCAAGTGTGACCCTCAATTTACTAAAAGCCATGTTGCACATAGACAAGCAATGAGGTTTATTTGATTTTCAAGCAAGTACAGATGCATCCTACATATGTTAAGGATGATATTCAAAACAACTGGCCATATTGTTCTCTGCTCTGTTCACCTGTCATTCCTAATTCCTGAAATCCTCTGTTCAGAATTTGAGATATTAAAGGAGGGGGAAGGTGAAACATCTGATGGTGGAAGATTCATGAAGAACAGAAATATGGAAATAAAGATTTTTTTCCCATGCATACTGGTTTATATTAGAAAAGGAAATGGTAGCTGGGTGGAAGAATGAATATTTCCAGGGTCAGCAGAGAGCACATCTGCCTTGTCGCTTTGAAGGAGGACAGATGACATGTGCTGCCAACTTGTTCCCTGACTTGTTTACCCCGTGCTTGTCCATCCACACCCCAAGCGGCACATGGGGTAATAGAGTGAAAAAGGCCATTTTGGCTGCTGTTGATTCATTATATGAATCTCTAAATTAATCTGTTTTCAACTTTGGCATCCCCTAGAATTGCAATGTCAATGATCCAGACATTTCTTTGTTCTGTTACTACTATGATTCCATGGGCACAGGCCTCGTTGAGGCGGAGGGGCTTACGCACTTCAATGAGGTTGAGAGCTGTGCTGAAGGGGCTCCCAAGCCAGACAGGTCTCAGCTGAGAAGCCAGACCAACTGTGTCCACCAAACATCAGTTATGGTGCCTTGGACTCAAGAAAAAGAAGAGGAGGATGGTGGTGGTGGTAGTAATAGAACTGTGGCAGGGGTGGGGAGCATTTATTCATGGGCTGCTAAAACGCAGAAGCAACTTGACATCATTGAACACACATTTGGAGACATGTTAGAAGATAAGGGAGCATACAACCAACCAGAAGCTCTTTGGAACACAGGAAGCTGCCTTCTACTGAGGAAAATTAGTAGTCCATCCACCACACCGACACCAAAAGTACCAGAAGCTCTTTGGAACACAGGAAGCCTTCTACTGAGGAAAATTGGTAGTCCATCCACCACACCGACACCAAAAGGCAACAGTGGTTCTCCAAGCTTTCAGGTCCCAGTCTGATACTCATAACCACTATACTGTACTGGCTCTCCAATATGCTTCCTTTCACTCCTTTGCCACTCCACGCATTGCACACAAATCTGGATAGCCAAGCTTCTTGTGTATAAGCAACATAGTTGTGTATAAGAGGATATGAGCATCAGCAGAAGTGCATGCAACTCTTTTGGGAAGGTTTTGGAGATCCATTTTAGATAGATCGTTGGTTTCTGTCCTGGAGACATGAGAAGAACTATTGCTGTTGCTTTACCGCTTCAGAGTCAGTGTAACACCAAACCAAAGCATCTGAACTCTTATGCATTAAATGGGTGAAAATAAAGAATTGGGAAAAGTAACCATGTATAGAGATCTAGCGATTGAAACACCTTGCTTTGGGATGAAAAAAAAACTTCCGTGCTCCCTGTAGTCATTGGGGCTTTGGGAACATTATCAAGAAATTTCACACAGTGCCATAAGCAGTTGCAGATTCCAGAAATAACATCAACAGAGCTACAAAAAACGGCAATATTAGAAACAGCATATATTCTGCATTGATATTTAAGATAGATACTTAGGTTTTTGGTTACAACTTGTATTTGTTATGTAATACCAGTCAATGTTTTTATAATTTTGATTGCGCCTGGTATTTTTCAATAATTGTAATCATAATAATCATAATCATCTTAGAGCTTCAGAGCTGTAAGGGACCCAATGGGTCATTGAATCCACTCCCTGTCAAGGAGATAACAGTGGGGAATTCAATTCCCAACCTCTGGATCTGCAGCCAGAGACCTAAAACACTGAGCTGTCCAGCTTGAATGAAGCCAGATAAAAAAACAGGTGCAGAGAATAATGGACAGGAAGTAATATTATAATATCATGAACGAAATTATATTGAAACATGACTGATTATAAAATACTTTATAAATTACAGTAATAAAAAGTGCAGTACCTGTCTATTAAAATCCCTTTTCTGAGCAACTTATCAGTTGCCCAAAGCCTTCCAGAATAATTAAAGCCTTCGGCTGCTGCTGGTTAACAGATAATAGAGTGAGTGGGTGGGCGGTCTACCCTACCCAACCGCAGAAGAGAGTTCTACAGCCTCAGAGCAGCCACTAAAATAGGCTTATGTTCAAGGGAATGTTCAGAGGCTGTTGGTCTCCCCATGCTTTGCTTTGTCTATTTTAAAATTGCAACACGCCGTGGATTGGTTTGTTTGTGTTTTTTCTTTCTTTCTTCCCCATTTGCTTATGTCTGAAAGTGTTTGCTGGCTCTTAAGACTTACTGCTTGGAATGGAATAATCACACTTGTTTTTGACCTTTATCTAGAGGTCGTGACAAGCGTTGTCCTGTATTGATAAACTATTGAAACGAGAGTGGAATTTACAGAGGGCATGTGGTTGGCTTGGAGACTCTTCGATATCAGAATTTTCTAATGTTCATTCCCATTGATATTGACGTATTCTATGCTATTATCAGCACAATCCAATATGTCTGATATTATTGCAGTCCTAAAACTATTTGGGCAATGCTGCTGAAATAAAAGACAAAACTTTCTGGAACAGCTCCCTTTTGTCTGCATGCACTCCTCCTGCATCTCATATCTGAGAGAAAATCTGATCCTTAAATATTTTCCTAATCCATGCATATTAGCATTACTGTACTATTTATTTTTTACTTGACTGGAACTGCTGTTGTCAGATTGACTGTTTTCCTACTTCTGAGAACTGTTTGTGCTCCTCTTATCCAAAGGAAGAAAAAATACTGAAAATTCCTGTGTTACATCTGGCAAGCTGAGAGACATCTATTGTTCTGCCTATTGTTCTTGCAAATGAAAAATGAAGTGTTTACAATTAATTATTTCCCTCCAGCTTTATGAATACTCATAACTGCTTCTTGGAATGGGGATGGAAGCCTCAGTTTTTCAAAGTTGCGTGAATTAAGTTAAATTTGGTCTGCAATTTTAAGAGAGTAATGAATTCAACCTTAAATTGATTAATCTGTGGGATATAATTGGTGAGTTTCCAAGATGAAGGCATATCTCACTTTTTGGAGACCAGTTTGGCAGTGAAAAATACTAAATATGCATTCTAACAAAAAGCTAATTATAGTGTTGGTTCTCTTGTCTTGTTGATACCTGAAAGGTATATATTGGCATAGTTATACAGGATACAGTTAAACATTATCGGTTAGAAGTAGGAAAAGGGCATTAAGTAATCTTTCATCTTCTGACATCTCAAAAATATTACAAGGATAATGAATGCAAGCTTCCTTGTGAGACAAGTTTGAAAAGGAGTGCTTGATGGCAGAAACGCTGACAGACCTTGTAAGAGTGTTCAGTCTGTTAAAGGGGTTTAATGATTTTGAGAACAAGTAACCAAGCAACATTAGTACCATCAGTGAGAGCCAGTTGAATTGTAGTAAGAAGAACACCATGCATCCAGAAGAACTAATCATCAGCATGCTTCAGAGAGTTCCAGGTTTTGTACAAGTATTAAAAAATATTGGGTGGAAAATCCTAAAGGGGACGAATTCAATGGTTACAGAGTGTTGGCTGACCAATTGGGGTCGCCTGAGGTTTTGAGAACAGAAAGTGAAGTTGGAGGGTAAACAGAATGGAGAGTCCTGAACAATATTTTGTTGAGAGTCCTCCTTCTAATTCATCTAGTTGTTTATATTATAGTAAACTTGAAGAATCTTGGGATTTGACTTGGAACAGCTGGTATCCCCACTGAAGCACATTTTCAATTACATGGGGAAGGTACTCTTATTCTGTCTTGTGCTTTCTGTTTATTAATGGATCAAGAATTTATGGAACATTGCATGGCTTAAATTTTGTCCCTTTGATAATCCTAGCAGCTTAGCAGGGTCCATAAGGGCATTTTCAGCTAGCAAGGCTACATTCCATATCTATCTAAAAGTGTATAGGAGGAGCGCATTTTTGAATCTTGAGCCACTCTGTGCAGATGCTGATCAGGGTGAAAGCCTT